ACTTCCAAGTGTTTGCTTCATCACATCCACTTGAAAATTATGACTTAAACTATAAAAGCTACTTTAGATTTGCCAGTTCACAGCAGAATAGTGGCATGTGGCTAGAACTCTTCTGGGGAATAAAACCGGAAGATAATGGAAATCATCTTAACCCGGATGACTACGGAACCCTTCAACTGGATGAAAGCTTCGATAAATCAAGTCTGTTCAGTTCTGCTGGTCAAAAGTTCCTTCATTCCTTGTGTAAGTCCATTGAAGACCAACCATTTTTTGCAGCTTTCCCTTATAGCGATTTGTGCCCTATAGAAGCATTCATTAAAACTTGTACCTCACCAGGAACGGCATGTTGTGGGGTCAATGCTTCTTTTCCATTTCCAGCCAATACTGCAGAGGACTGTTTGAGAAAGGCTCCATTCAACACAGGTGTTTTGTTTGACCAACAGGGGAAAGTGGTTGGTTTTCATTTCCAAATAATCTCAGATCAATCATTTACCACCAGTTTTACTGCTATGGATGACTTCTGGAAAAGCGTGACATTTTGGTTTGACAAAGAAAGGGCTAAAGCTCCAACAGGATTGGATAATGGTTGGGTTGGATGCTGGAATCTAGACTTCTATGCTCTTCAGATGGGACTGTCGGAAGGCACGTACTCTTCATTGGGAATCTCTGTTGCTGTATCATTTGGAGTCATGCTGCTTACAACCCTCAACATCTTCATCAGCATCTATGCAATCATCACCATCATTGGAATTATTTCCATAACCATTGGGTGTCTTGTGCTGGCCGGCTGGCAGTTGAATATCTTTGAGTCTATTGTGGTGTCAGTGGCAGAGGGTCTGTCTATTGACTTAACAATGCATTATGGGGTGGCTTACAGACTTGCACCAGACAAAAGTCAGAGAGATAGCAGAGTGGGTTACTCTCTGAAGCACATTGGATCAGCCATCACGATGGCTGCTCTTACAACATTCTTAACAGGTGGGCAATTTTTAGTTATGATCATTGTCTTAGATGATACATCATAAAGTAGAAGTTCTTTGTTCTATTGTATGACCTATAGAGTCCGTTTTATCTTCAAGACAAAACAGTATAAAAATTGGAATTAAAAAAAGAGTAAGAAAATACGAAGAAACATGAAGAGCACCATTATCTAAAGTACTAACCAAGTGAGTTACGTGAGGTTGAACTGGAAACTATTGGACTTGAGCTCTTAAAATTGAGAAAAATATTTTGTGCTCTGGCCTGACCTAACTCAATCAACAAGTTCATATTCTGAGTAGGCTGGTAGGTGAATAAATTGCAGTCTAATGAATTGCACTTTTGTTTGATTTAGGTTTGATGATGATGCCAGCCTCAGTCTTGGCATACTATCAGCTGGGACAATTCTTGATGTTAGTTATGGTCTTCAGTTGGCTTTTTTCAACTTTTGGCTTCTTGTCCATATGCTCTGTGATTGGTCCAAAGGATGATTTTGGACAGTTGAACTGTAGTCCTTTCTTAAGCATTTGTTCTTCATGTAAAAATGAACCTGAGGAAGAGATGGGCAATCTGGCCATTCCTGATTTGGATAAAAGTCCTCATGATCAAAATGACACAGACATCACTACAACCCTCTGAAGAGTGCACCAAGGCTACAGTACACTTTAGTTACTATCTGCTGGAAAGGTGTTTTGAGGAAGTTTGATCTTAGAGAGCTGAGTTGTGCGATAAAGTAAAGATAAGCAGATCTTGCTACCAAACACACGTCAGGGATCTGCTTGTTGTACAAAATGCTCCATACCATCAAGCAATAATATAAATGTTGGAATGTGTGTTTTCATGAAGAATATCTATAGATGCCATAATTTTAGAGAGTACTGGTCTGGTAAATTCATATTTAACAAAAGTGTTAACTGGCAGGTTATGCTATATGTTACCTTTTCATTTCCATGAGTGGTCAAAAAGGAATTTCTCTTTGTAAAATCCATACATATTCAAGCAGAAGAGTTACAAGTAGAGAAAGGTATACCAGCAAGGAAGTTTTTATTCTGGGGACAGTTTTAGAATGTTAGGTTAGGTTGGTAATTGGTGACTTAAAAAATAGTTCACATTGGAGTAATTTCCTTTGTCCTGGTCTTGGAATCCAGCACTGTCAATCTTGGTTTAGGAAACGTAAAGATCGATTGAGAATTTTTCCATGGCTACTGTATAAAATCTTATTACTATTTATCTGAACCATCCAGTAAATAGTGTCTTTGGTGCAGCCCTTGAAAGCTGTTTAATATTATACCCTTTTAGCAAGGAGTAGCCTTAAGATTAGGTATAAAATATTATCTTTCGAACATTAGACATATTTCTTGTTTTGCATATTTATATATTCTTAAGTTATCTCAAAGTTCTGTACAGTGTCATTGCTTAACTTATTTTATAGGAGGATCAGTTAGATTGCTGTCTAAATACATTTTTTATTGACATGTATGGATTCTAAGCCTTAAAGCGACAAAAAAAATGCAGATCATAATTGTTTTACCTTCATAATCCACAGTTCATTTATTAAATTGTTAAGCAAAGCAAGGTGGTAAGGATTTGGGGTACAAATGAAAAATTATCAGTTAATTCAGTTCCTACCTGGCTTAGTTGGGTTAAGGTTAGGGTTAGTTAACAAATTACATGGTGGGATCATTAAAATGCAAGTAAATGGTTGATAAATATTAATTTTCTCTTGGTTCAGTGTGATTGACTGTATAAAGGATGAGCTTGATTGCAGGCCAAAATTTTTTATTGCAAGGTTTCCTTGCATAACTATTGATGATTTTGATGTTAATGACATATTAAATTTCTAATAATTGATGAAATTAAAAAATATCAGCATTTAGTGATCATTAATTATAGGTTGATAAAAATCATGCCTATTTTTTTAATTGAACACTCCTTGATTGCTTTTGTTAATTGATAAATAAACATTGATTAAGGTTGATTAAACATCCATTTTTGATGATCAGTGATTTCATGAATTAACTAGGCCAGGTTAATAGGTGTCAACGGACTAAAGAGATAGTGCTGATTATTCAATTAATACAGCTTACTGCAAGTCTATAATATAAAGGTCACTTATTCTATTCAGTTAAGCTTTTTCTCTATTCTTTTTTGTATAAAAATATATAGAGATAATATTTATCATAATTTACCAACAGATAAAGAAATTTGACTTGGGAAAGATATCCTTATGGATTTTGCTGACCCTTTTGTATATAACTTTTGCTTGGAATTTAAATGGAAGTGAGAGTAAAGAGTGATTCATGCATGTGCACTTTAAATATTTCAATTCATTTTTTAAAATTAATTTTTAAGGTATGGATAGAAAAGAAAAAGTTGTGGAAAAGATATCTGAAGAATTTGGGGCACAATGTTAACAGTTGCTCGATCTCTTGCTCTATGACTTTATTCATAGATTTGAATCAGGAAGACAGTCTTCAATTTTTCACATTAAGGTGTGTGCCAACTGTGCTGAAATAAATATTTACCTCACTAGAGTTGGTTTTGATTTTTAAGGTCTGACTGTCCAAGTTCAGTGCAGCTGTAATAATGATTGGACTTGTAACTCCCGGCATTCTGTTCTCAAGAAAAATGTTAACCATTCTGTTATGCTGAATTATCCAACCAAATGTGTCAGCGTGTCTGTGGAGTAAAATCATTTCTTGCAAAGTTCATTACAAAGGTGCAAATGGTCAATTCCACGTTGCGGACATGACATTTAGAGGCATATTTTGGGTATTAAATGTCTCCTAAAGCCAGATCCAGTCTATTTGAATTGAAATTAGTCATGTCATAAAATTACCCGTGAAGTACTTTTTATTTTGCCAGAAAACATTTTGACTATCTCGTAGAGATCCAGAGAAAATAATTTTTCAAAGTGTGTTGCGGATGTGACTCCTAAAACAACCATTGATTTGAATTGCTTTTGGTTACTTCAAATTTCCTGTGAATTGAAAACCTTTTAAAAAAACTGCATATACTAACTAAATGCAATAGTAACTGTGCTTCATAAATCTGAAAAGATATTATAGAAATTACTTGTTACCATGNAGAACCTACATAGAAATTAAATAAATGTTGCTCTGAATCATACCCTGAAGGTCACGTCCGCAACACTTTTTATGTCTTTGTACGTCTGAGACATTAAATGTTTGAGAATTTTTTTCTTTTTGCATTGAAAGGCTCATCCTAGTGGGTAGTTAAGATCTCAAAATCTGATTCATGGCGATCAATTTCTTTGAGATATAGCAATTTAGATATTGGTATGTAAAATGGCTTATTCGGTTAATAAAAACCCTCAAAAACAATGGCATCACACAACCTGGGCGTGTCCACTACTGCCAATCTAGATTTGGATTCTTATAGAACTATGTATAAGCTTTCATTAAAAGTAAGTTTGGCTCTCATATTTTGAATTTGAAAATCTGTCAAATTTTCATGTCTCATGTGGAATAGCCCAAATTAGGAATTGTCTGGGTTAGAAAAATGATTGCAGTTACATCTGATGCAGGCGGAGAGTAATTCCAAAACAACAACAGCCTGCTGTCATAAAATATCAAAGATGGCAGCTACAATTTTCACCAAGAAAATGGTGAGTAATTGCATGCCAAAATCAAGCCAGCTCCACAGGCTAAAAGTTTGGGGTTTCCTCAAACTATTGCATTAATATGTGAATCTTAAAAATGTTACGGTTTAATTTAAACTTTGTTGTGAAAATTTATCCTGTCATACTAATGAATACTTAAATCGACTGAAGTTTTCAAAAATCGAACGTCATTCTCTCCATCTTAACAGTAAAGCACGACAACAGTTAACTCTCTTTTAGAGTATACTTTTTCCTTGCTTTGACTTGTACTAATTTCCTGTTAGCCCAGACACCGTCTTCTATCAAGATGCCAGTCAGATAATTCCCATATACACATCCAGAGTCAATCCCAGTAGCATATTTGTAGTGCTGGACACCTCGGCGAGCATCGTGTCCAAATACTACATGCTGAGGACCGTTCCATGTTGACGCCCATGGCAAGCCCTCCTCGATTCCTGCCGTTCCTTGGAACTTCTCTGGGATGTAGTTTCTGATGAACATCATACCCAAAGGATCTTGTTGTTCAATAGGTATCCCTGGCAGTAGTCCGCCATGAACCACCAGAACATTGAATGAAGGAACACTTATCGTGAAAGGCAGATTTTGCAGGAAATCTTCGTCCTCTTGAGTCAAATCGTAAACAAAGTTGCGTTTCTCTCGCACAGGTTCGTCTCTTCTTTTGTGAAGGATTTCGGTCAAAATAGATTGTTCATGATTTCCTCTAACAGAAAACGAGCCTGTCTCTCTGACAAAACGTATAACTTCCAGAGTCTTAGGTCCTTTAAAGACAAGATCACCCACGAAAATCAGTGCAGTTTCCTTGGAGGAATCTGTACATTGGTTGTACAACTCTTGCAGTTCGTCAAAACAGCCATGAACATCCCCGACAAACAGAACTCTTTTGCCCTCCAGAAGTTGCTCATCTATAGTCACATGTGATTTTAATGGAGGCAGTGTTGTCTTATGACCTTTGCCAACTTTGTAGCTTAAGAAAGATCCAATATCTCTCTTATAAATTAGTCCGACCTTGTCCAAATAATCAACAAGGAATTTTAGTGCAACGTTCATAACCCCGGCCATAGTTTCACCATGTTCAACCTATGTACTACAGTGTGTAGGCATCCCTTAAATGTCTTTCAAGGATTACTTCTCGTGCATAATGAAACGTGGGGAGCTCTTCTTCTACCCAACTGGATTTGTTAATGTCGCAATGCAATGGTAATAGTGAGGGGCTGCGTTCAGGCTTACAGGCCAATAAGAAAAGTACAGAGTTATGAGTCAGCCATAGAGTTTAATAATACCCAATTTTTTGGGCGTTTACAAAATCAGGAACGGATCGGACCGGACCGGATTAACAAAACCAGGATCGTATCGGACCGGACCGGATTAACAAAATATGGATCGGATTGCGTCCGATTGACAAAACCCGGACCGGATCCGAAAAAAATGGGATCGCTATAAATTTCCAGCCAAATGTTAGTGTATGAACGTACCTCATAATTATTGGAGCTATCCACTAGTAAACGTGGAAAACATCCAAAAATCCGTACAAGTTCTTCAAACATGACGACTGTTTTTCTTGCCATGCACAGTGTGAGCGCTAAGCCTCACGGGAGTAACAGGCGATGATGTTCGATCGGAGGTAACGACACCTGCCAAGCGAGTGCCGGCCAACTGAGGCCGCTACGATTTGAGCGCAATTGACTGTAGTTGAAAATGAATATCCACAGATGTTCTCAAGCTCACAATATGAAATGTATTATAGTTGTTTTGTTAAGAGCGGACGTGACCGTGACGGGAAAGTGGTGTTGTGTTACCACGCAAGTGGCGTATTGTGACAGTGTTGGTAAAAGCGGCGTTACATTACAGTGTCGACCGTCGATTTTGAGCGCTCTATAAAACAGTGTATGGAGTCCATAATAGCGTCCTATCAAAACGTTCGTTATGATAATGACAATCTTTAATAATTGCTCCTAAAAAGGCTTTTCGGCAACTTTTTACAGTGATGGGTCAGTAATTTACAACAATGTTCAAGTAAATTAAAAAAAAAAAGTACGTACAGTGTGCAAGGCTACAAATGTGTTTCTTATTATGGCATAATTATGTATAGTTTTCAAAATAATAAAGTATGTGAGCTTACCTTGTCTTTTTTCTGTAGTTCTTTATGCCTGTTGAGGCGAAACAACAATACCTTTAGCGTAGTGAGCTGGGAGCGCCTCTAGAATATCTTATACGAAAAAGAACCATTACAACTTTGCTTCACTGAGCTGCGAAAAAAGGCAGTTGTATTTCTATGCCAAAACTTGATCATGAGATGTTACGTGACTATTTTAGCAGGAAATTTATGGCGATCCAATGTTTTTTGGACCCGGTCCGGGTTTTGTCAATTGGACGCAATCTGGCCCAGGTTTTGTTAATCCGGTCCGAACTGGTCCAGGTTTTGTCGATCCGATCCGATCCGATCCGGTCCGGCTTTTGTAAATGCACCAATTTCTTGTCTTTTGTAATAGCCTGATTTCTTGGATGATTTTCTATTCACTTTAGAGACCTCTCACATTAATGGCTGGAGTGGCTTATTGTTACTCTTTGACTTGCATGTTGATTAACCTCCCTGGATAATTTGGATATATCAACAAAGTTGAAATGGTAAACTGGCCACCGTAACGATTACAAAAGCTGACGTTTCGAGCGTTAGCCCTTCGTTAGCTCTGACGAAAGGCTAACGCTCGAAACGTCAGCTTTTGTAATCGTTACGGTGGCCAATTTACCATTTCAACTTTGTTGATATATTCAAATTATTTCGTTACTCCCACCGACGCACCCCCAAACAGTTTCTTTCGAAACTATCAGCCTTTAACCTTCCTGGACTTGTGGACATGTCTAATGTAACTTCTTTCCACATATTAAATAAGGCAGTAGCTGACATGCAATTTAATTGATAAAACTAATTTAAAACTATCCCAGTCATACATAGCAATTCATAAATACAAAACAATTTCAATTGATAAGTCAGAAACTTTCTCATTGTTATGTGAGGTTCTGGGTTTTATTTACAAAGTTTTCATCTCTTTTTCAGTCATAAATAATTTGGATTTCACTTAGCAACATCTTCAGTGGTTGCCACATATTAAAATGTTCCAAGGTTGAAACTTTTTGTGATCAGAATAAATATTTACAATTAATAGAATAATTCAGTAATAAGAAGGGTAGTTTTTATTAGTTCTGAATTTTTCTAGAATGTTAAGATGAAAAAAATATCTTTAAATGCCACCAACTGGCAAAACAGATGTCGAGATAGCATGCATTTTAATCAGTGTCTTCCATCATGGGTTCTGTGCTTTGTGGTGGGGACCTTTTCTGATCATGTTCTGCCAGTAAATCCTTAATGTGACTTGTAATAAACCAAACCTGTTAAAAAAATATTATGAAATTACCACTTACTCATGGATATAACCATTATAGCTTCTGATCAAGTTATTACTTTAAAGTCACAACATTGTACCAGCCTTTTTCCCTTAACTATTTCTGCACAGAGATTTGTTGTCAGAGAAGTTATTCAAACTTTAGACATTAAATTGACATATTTAATAAAAATCAAATTAGGAATTTCCCTTTTTGAGTTGATTTTCATGTTAGTCAGTCAGTTAGCCAGCCAGCCAGCCAGTCAGGCAGTCAGATAATATGGCAGTCCCTAAGTCAGTCTGTCAATCAGTAAGTTAGTAAGCTAGTCAGTCAGTCAGCCAGCCAGCAAGTCACCTGGTCAGTGAGTCAGTTATTCAGTTGATTTGTCGGTTGATGGGCTGGTCAGTCTTCAGTCACTGAGTCAGTATTCATTTGGTAAAAAATTGGATGATCAGCCATTAGTTTGATCAGTCAGTCAGTTACCCAACCAGTTGGCCAGTCAATCAGTTTCTCTGTTTGTCTCCTATGCTGCTGCCTGAAAGTACACTGTCATCTGTACTAACTACCCTTACCTCAACACCCATGCACAGAGCTCTACCAGACACTAAAATTCCAGTGACTGCCATCTGTGAATGATGTGACATGAATGGTGACCACAGGTGTTCATTCATACCATACAACCACACAGGGAGCCCATGAAGGCCACAGATTGCAAACACTCCCGCAGGTGTTTTAAATCCTGACAAAGAAATCACAACTTACAGTCATTTCTTTTAAGTTTTCACAACTAGTTTTTATTGCTGAACCCTATCCATAACTCAATGCACATGATCTGATAGTATTTCCAAATGTGATCTATTGTTGAGTTCAAAGTGGGTGAAGACGTTGGACATGTTTATTCTAGGAGGACTGTTCCATTTGTGAAGGGGAATAAAAAAAACTATTGTAAAAGCTGGGAATCATGAGAGTTATTTAACTAAAAGGCACATTTTTATTGTAACAGCTAAGTGACAGAACGGGTTCACCTGAGAAACGGTCTACATAAAACCAAAAAATTCACCCTGTCATTAGATTTAATGAATGTTATAACAAACCTTGAGCCATAACAATTTGAACCCATGAAGGAGGGTTGGATTGGGCTGTCTTCCATTTTGCTCCAAGTGAATGTGTACACACAAATACCATCCACTCCACTGCACTGATAAAGTATCCCCACTAAGGACAATAACAGAGATGATTAAATAAATCTTCCAGAGATAATCTATTAATAAAGTATTTTACCTTATAAAGCAAGGTCCAAAGCATTCCTCTTCCAAGATTGTCTGTGGCAACATCCAACTTCAAAATAAATCACATAACATTACATTTAGCCCACACCATACTGACTGTCATTTTTCTCTTATCTCCAAATGAGAGGCTTTAATGACAGACTGTACCTAAACCTCGACTTAGAGACCAAAGGAAACTGGAAATTCTAAACAAGTTATGTCAACAGGTGTGGTGGAAGCTTGATGCTCCTTCCTGGGGGACCAAATGAACAAAATTAAAATTAATGCATTTTTAAAAGTTGGGTTAACTTTGATTACTGATTGTTTAGAAGTTAACTGAGACCCACTTAACAGGTAGATCACTGTCAATAAGTCATGATCATCTTTTATTCACCCTTAACACCTTAACATTAGTATCCATATTCTCCATACTGTTTTCTATACATTTCCCAAGGTGCCGACAAGGAGAATTTGCTTAATTAGCAAGAGCTTTAGTTGATGATCACTTCCATTATTTTTGTAACCTTATTGTTTGATTCAGGAGTGATATTGTAAGGAGAAATAAGACGTTAGTCACTCTTAAGNCAAAGTTGAAATGGTAAATTGGCAACCGTAACGATTACAAAAGCTGACGTTTCGAGCGTTACGGACACCCGTTCTTAAAGGCACAGAAAAACAGAAAGGTGGAATGGCGAAAAATCAGTCTAGAAAAGTAAAATTCTCAACCAAGCGAATGATTTCCAAAATGAAAAGGCACCGCACGTCGGCGCAAAGTGAGTGTGAATATTTTCACAACTCAATAATTACGTGTATCGCTTCATGCTAACAACACTTAAAAGTCCAACCAGTCTTCAGACTCGCCGGAAAATTATCTTACAGAACTAATCTCTTGCTTTGTCTGGATAACTATCGCTGTTTTTGACAATTCTGAAGGCGAGGGCGACTGACGGACTACGATCGCACTTCGTAATGACGGCCAGCTAAAGTCAGCAAACAGCACAAAACTCCAAACAAAATGACTCCCCTGTACCGCTGTTTGTTAAGACGTGGTTTTAGTATTAACAACCCATTCAAAGGAACAACCATAATAAACCAGAAGAAGTATCATGGATATTTTCCGACTTAAAACCATGCAAAAGGCCGATGTTTTCATCGAACTCAGTCCACAAACACATGGAAGCACTTGGCAGCCTAATGTTGATGACCACTGACCACTGTGACGTCACCAAAACGTATTTCCGCAGTGTCGAATTGACCAGTTTCCAGTTGTTGCACTTACCCCCCCCCCCTCCCCGCACTTACCCACGTGAAGTAGAGGCTATGGGCATCTCGAGTGAACACGGTACCCACGGTCCTTTCACATGTAGTTGGTCTATCATGGCGGACGAATTACACTGAAGGAACCATGTATTTGTAATCCCAACTTTAAAATATTGGCGTCTTGATACCCTCCTTTGGTTGGAAGTATTTTTTCCCTATTAAGATCAAGGAACGTCAGTTTAAAACGTTTTTGCCTAAAGTTTGTGAGAACTGTTTAGATTACAGCTGATCGCATCATGAGCGCTTCCTTTCGTCAGACAAGAAACATTTTACCGATGATTAGAATTCCATTTAAGTGGAGGAGGAGTGACTGTCTGTACAGATTATTTTCACAAAATTTGTTAGCTTCACGGTGGGGTTGTTGCAGTATTTCATGTCTAAATCAGAGAAGCATTTTGCGGGATATATCCGATCTAAAGATATCATCTGTGCTGCGGTATTCTACATCAACTTCAGAGTATCCTCCAGTAAGTTAAATTCTCAATGATATTTAACAGGAGAAGAGATTATGAAAAACAATTGAGCTATTGGACAATTGAAACAATCAAGATTATTTTTCTTGAATAAATGTTTCTTTAATGCCCTCAGGGGAAATGCCAGGGGAAATGGAGATTGGGGAGGAAGGAGTGGTTAGGAGGGAGGGGAGGGGAGGGGTTCAATCTTCAAAACACCTGTATGGCTGGTTGCCAACAAAGAAGGTGGAGAGTTTGGGACCCCATATTTAGAATAAGGAATTCACTATAAGTGAATATAAGTTAATAATAATAATAAGTATAAATCACTTCAATTTAAAGATCTAATTTTTAGGCATGTAAGAGATGAACAACTTTTTTTAGAGACATGTTTAGGCATGCTTATGGCATCTTCAATCAATGAGTAAGATGGCATCAGCATGCCGAAACATGTCTCTAAAAAAGTTGTATATTTCTTACAATATTTATCCTACTTGCTACTACTACAACATACATTAACTAGTACTACTACTAGACATTAACAACAGGGTGAAATTTCAATGGTGCAAAAGTTTACTGTTTGTTAATGTAATTGATAGATAACTCACCATCCTCAACTTGTAATCATTAGGGTTTTAAGACGCATAGTGTTGTTTCTGTTAACCCTGTTTGTGGATGAAACCTTTGACTTCCAACATGACAGTCATGTGCCCTTCCAGTTTATATAACATGATAGCATCTAGTGTGAATGAGTAACGTAAAATTCTCTGGGGAGGCTGATGGAATTTTGGGGTGTAACTAGTTATGGACTGGCCTTCCATCCCTATAACACTTTGTGTTATTGTTACTAGTGTGCACCACTTTGTTTATATGCTGGATGTAACTTTTTGTTATGAAATTTCTGAGTATTGGTTGCATTTCATATCAGGTGGAATCCATATCATTTGAACTTTATACCGATTGTTCCTAAAGCTGGTTTTGTACGTCGCTTTTGTCTGTGTGCAAGGAGTGTTGGTACAAAAGGGTGAAAATTAAAGAATCATTAGAAATCATTATGGTTGGTTACTGCTCTTCTCAACAGTGAATTTTCTTTTTTTTCCTGGTGTAGGAGGCAAAGGTTGCACACAGCAAAACTCTTCTGACAAACAAAGGTATTTGAACGAATCTAATCTAGCCCATTTTTGACAAATTAAATCATACCCTTCAGTCTTGAATAGAGGTGTGTAGTTTGTTGTAATAGTATATTATAACATAACCAAGGTAAAGTGTGTGCTCTGATTGGTCAATTTAGCGTCCACCATTTACCCATGGGTGTATGCTAAATACTGAAATTTACACCACTTTTCTTTAGCTTTCAGAGAAGGTATTGCCAAATTTGCTACTCAGCTCAATGTGAACATTCCAGGAGAAAGAAATCTTCTAGCTGCATTCACTCATGAGTCATTCCTTCTACAAAATGCAGACAAAATAACAGACTTCGTTGGATTTAATGAAAAGCTTGCTTTTCTTGGTAAGACTTAACACCGATGAAACACTTCCATTGTTTTGTCTACAAATGCAAAGTTACAGTAATTGCTTTTAACAAGGTTGTTTTCCAACTTATAGGAGCACAAACTGCAAGAAAGAGCTTTACTGAGTATCTATTTGAAAACTTTCCTCAAATTTCAGCTGCAGAGATTTGGTAAGTATGAGATATATCATGTGGCAAATTTATAGCAATTTTCAATTAAGGCTTGTGCTCTACAATAGACACGTGTCAAATTAGCACATTTATTTATTTTGTTTAAATGGCTGTCAAGTAATATGGTTCAGGGCCAAAATATCATGTAAAGAAAGCCTTACTTCCCTATTGTAACATTCCTGTTTTTCTGCAGTGATTATACCTTGTTTTCCATTTCAGCTGGCTATACTTGGTAATTCCTATTGAATTTGTCAATCCAAAACTGAAAAAAGTAACCCTTAGATTTCCAAGTTGTATTAGAAAGCCATACCCTTATGCATTTTTGGACACTTGTCCATGAAGACTAGAATTAAGGAGTTGAAGTGCCTCCGTTTTTAACTTATGTAGTGTTCTTCATATTGCTTTGCTTAATTTAACTATCTTATCAGTCAGTTTGGTACTTGGTACGGCACAAAGTGATTTTTACACCTTCAAAATCTTTTAACTCCCAGAAATGATTGTCATGTAACTTCTCCCTTCAATATCCAGACATTAGTATATACTAAAACAGTGGATAGCATTGAAGGCGCGCTCTGATTGGCTAGTCAAACTCCGAATATCTTTTGCTATTTACCTCCGAGCAACTCGGGAAAAAATGGCGTGCCAGTTTGCATCCGTGACATGCGAAGAAATCACTCAAATAACGACGAAGCAGTCCCTGAAAACACAGAAAGCGACTAAATTTGGTTTGGCCGTGTTTAAAGGTAATGGTAACCGGGAGTTTATCGATAAAAACCAATGAAAAAGGTTTTGTTTACAAATGCAAATTAATCTTGCGTAACCTCACTTGTTCACTGGAAAATCAAAGTTAAATGGTATTTTTTACAAAATGGTTTCAAATGCAGAAAGAGTTTGCAACACCATTTGAGGAAATGTCGCCACCAGAGCTAAACAAATGTCTTCAGAAATTTTATCTGTCAGCGAAAAAACGAGACGGCAGGTTTTACAACAAAATTCACTTACTGCGATCCGAGCGGCGTTGGATCATTACGTGCGGGAAAATGTTGGAATCGTTGCTGGAATGTATGAATTAAAATCAATTTTTGGTGGTGTATATTATCTCACTATTTTAGTATATACTAAAACAACTATTCACCTCAGTGTCGGTGGTTAGCAGTGAATATTTACCTCGCCCCTTTGCGGCTTGGTAAATATCCACCACTAACCACCTCCACTTCTGTGAATAGTTGTTAATTATCCAGCAAGCATGTAATGCAAATACTTAAACTTGTCAGGTAGAAGTTGTTTTTTTGATCCTACACCAGATTCTTGTCACTGAGGTGTAATCAATGTGTAGCAGCCAAAGGGGAGAGTTAGCAATCAGGCTCCGGTTGTTCAAAGGGCAGATAACGCWATCCAACGGATAAATCGCTATCCAGCGGATAAGTGTTACCAAAACGTACTGCTCTATCCACCAGATAGAGATTTATCCAGAGTATAGCGTTATCCATCCTTCGAACAACCAGGACCAGATCTTGGAGATAAGGGTTGGAGTTCCTCATTTTTTTTTCTCAACTTAGTGTTTAATATGACTCTGTTACTAGTCAATTTGATCCCTGGTGCAAAGTCATTGTAATGATTATACCTTCTTAACTCTTTAACCCCTAAGAGTGATAAACATCTAATTTCTCTTTACAATATCAATCCTAACGTAAAGGTACAAAGAGAATGAATGAAATAATCACCAACTAAAAAAGCTCTGGATTATTAAACAAATTCTTATTGTAAGCACCTTAAAAAGTGTTTGGAGAATAGTATAGGGAATGTGCATTCTGATGTTAGGATGTAAGGGGTTCATTGTGTTTTGGTTTGGTTTCAGGGATCTACACAATGCTCTTTTAGAAGATTTTGTAATACAGAAGGCAATAGAATGGGATATTACACAATATGCTCTTTACTATGTGAGTGTAAAATCTGCCTTAGTTCAATATTATATGAAATGAATGATTTGTCCAGAAAGGAGCAGATATATAACAAATTAGGAAAATATATGATATTTTTAAAAGACATGTCTTGACATCCCATACATTCTCTTAAATTTGAATGATTTGTCTACTTCCATAGCAAGATAATTTTTGATCCACTAATAAAAAGTTGTCTTGTATGGCAGATGTTTCTCTTATTTTACCTTGGCATTCCTCTTAGAATTGTTGAAGGTATGATAACCTAATCAGACTGTCTTTGTGGACAATGGCATAGAAATGCACATTTAACTCTAAACAATTCAATTTCTTTTTTTTTTAAACATTTCACAACCCTTTTTGCACTCTTTTTTGTTATATAGTGCTTGCCTTTTAACCATATAACTCCTATAAGTGACCAAGAGAGAATTTCTCTTAACATAAAAGTACTGACAATATTTAGCAGACAAGCAAAGAGAATAAAGAAAAATATAAATTAGAGGATTCATTTTTTAATCAAATGCCAAATTCTCCAATCTAATATCATGAGAATTGTATAGCAGACAGGGGAATCCTATGGAGACACAATGATACCTCTATTTTTTGATGTTTAGCGACAAAGTAAAGAACTGATGCAGAGACAAACTGTACTTGCACTGGTGGGAGCAGTTTATGTTCATGAGGTCAGTGATGGATTTGTGTAAGGTTAAGTTCTTTAAACAGTAGGCCACATTTCTATTGAATGAAGGGGATAAGTTTCTAAAGAAACTGTGGTGATGTGTCGGTGGGGGTAACAAGGTAATTTGGTTATATCAACTAAGTTGAATTTGTAAATTGGCCACCGTAAAGAGTTAAAAAGCTGACATTTCAAGCGTTAGCCCTTCGTCATTCACTCTGATGAAGGGCTAACGCTTGAAATGTCAGCTTTTTAACTCTTTACAGTGGCCAATTTACAATTTCAACGTAGTTGATTTTACCAAATTACCACATGTCTGTTGGTTTATCGGGTAGTGAGCCCTAAGAAGGCACAAAGTTTTCGGAATAACCTGTTACTAAATGAGTATGATTGATAAGTTAATAATAAAGACACTTTTATTTTCTGAAATCAGTTTCAAAGATGCAGGAAATTCTTTTATTTTGAAGATTTCTTTCTTTATCAGAGTCCTAAGAATGCAGATGCATTCGTAAAGACACATCTTATACCTGAGCTAACTAAAGAGAAGATTGAAGAGATGTTGAAACTTCAACACCCCAAGTTCATTCTTCAAAAGATCTCTGTCGAAAAGGAACACTTTCCTTTAAAAACAAAGTAAGTATGAGTTAAAGGTGTGTAACCTTTGGACCAGTCTCCTTTGCAGCCGTCTTTTGGGATGTCATGCAACGCTCCCCTGAAAGAAATGGCTGCTCACATTTGAACCACCTTCCTTTCTCGATTTTAGCCAATCACAGCTACAGTTCCATCTTCTGGAACTGTCACGCGCAAAATTTTCTAAAGATGTCTAGACCCACTACTTCTCGTTTTATCATTCCACGATCTCCTGAGATTACAAAATCAAGTTGGTGGCCCTTAATGAAGCTTTTCTTCAAACATCATCAACTTTCAAAATCGCAGGCTTTAATTCTTACCAGAAGCTGGCGATTCAAAAGTTTGTCTTCCAGAAGCAAGATGAATATGTAAACCTGCCCACAGGCTCTGGAAAATCTCTAATTTATCAGGCTCTCCCTATCGTGTTCATGTTTGTCTAATAATATTGGTGGTGACGTAATCTAATTAGTATGAAGCACGTAGGTAATGCTGTGTAATGTTTATGGGGCAAGTGTGCGAGAGAGTAAAGGTAGTGTGGCAATGCAGATTCCATATGATTTATAAGTTCCCTACAAGATACTAAATTTGGTGACGAGTCGTAGATTTTGTACAAACATTTTCGAGGCCTTTGCTCAGATCGTTGAAGGCACTGTAAATTTTGGATTCCGGCAGCTCTACTTTGCTCCCGATGCTCATCTCCAGCATTATGTACACGCTTGGCTCTTTGCCTCCCTTAGAAAGATTCAAGAATTTTCCTCTTCAGCTCTAGAACCTTTTCAGTTGCTTGTTGAAATTTCAGCAGCTGCTTCTAACACACAGCTTTGCACATAAAGAACTTGCTGCTCACATAGCAGCTGATATCGAAGTCCAACGAAGATCTGATTATTTCCACAAAGTTATGTGTACTATTTCCAAAAATAAATACTCTTTCTTGGGCTGCCGAAGGCGAAGAACACATTAAACACTTTGAGATTTCCTTGAAAACTTTTTTCGGCGTTTCACTCACTGTACCATGCGGCTGAAAGGAAATCTCACATAAACTTTGTGCAAAAAAAAAGGAAAAGAATGTGGTTCGAATGTGAGCAGCCATTTCTTTTGGGGAAGTGTTGTGTGACATCCCGAAAGACGGCTGCGAAGGAGACTACCTTTTGACCTGCTGAGTGTTTAGCTTCTAATTTATCTTCACAATATCACCCCTGAATCGCACAATTAAAGGTCTTGAGATTGAAGGAACTGATCACCAACTGAAGAAGCTCTTGATTGTTCAATGAATTATCTTTGTCAGCATCCTTGGAAATATATGGATAACAGTATGGAGAATATGCATTCCCAAGTTAGAGTATTAAGTATTAATTACAAAATATACAGGAGACAAAAACTGTGTACTCTTACTTTTGCTTATCTATGGTCCAGTCTTCTCAGTTGATTTAGTTAAACCTCACCACTACTATTAAGGTTTTTGTAATAATGAGTCTTATGTAAGTTTTCATTAAAACACCATATTTTTTTATCCTCAGACTTGGTTTCCAAGAAGAAGTCAAGTCTAGGTATTGTGTGAACAACCCATTCATCTATTGTGTCCTTGTGACAAGGGGTGAAAATAACGAAATGTTGGGGAAAGGTAGGACTCTTGTTGTCAGTCTTCTTTAGTGAAAGTGACTTTCATGTAATGTCTCTTTAACGTCTCTTTGGTTTATAATTTTTTTTTAAATGGCTGGTCTGTTTATAAAAGATGTACTTATTACAACTTACTTAGCTATTCTGGATAAGATCCCCCTGTTTACTTCACCATTAAAAGTGAATGATGAATGAATGAATTCCTTATTTATATTGCACCCTTTCTATACAATATTCAAAGGTGCAGTACCCCCCATCAATTTGATAGACACTACACAAAGATAGACCACAACACCGGGCACTACGTGCCCTACTCTTTTCGAACAGTGTGTGGGTTCTTTGATGTCCCACAAATTTTTACTTATCACATACAAGGGCTTTTGAGATGGGACATCCATTTATCGTCCCTATCTGAGAAGACAAGAAAGTCTAACCATTTACAGATATTATTACAAAGGCAGCACTTTCTTCTCAGTTATTTAAAGACCCCCAGTGTTGGTCCGGCTGGATTTGAACTCACGACCTCCCGCACAACAGCCCAGCGCTCTACCAATTGAGCTAACCGGGAGGCGGTTAGTGCAATTTCCAGGTTCCATTCTTGGGTTGTGATTACTTGCTCATTATGACACTGTTTGGCATAAAGGGTTGCAATGTAATCCTTAATTCTTGCCCATTGGTTTCTTGTCCTCCCTTTCTTGTTGTGATCAGTAGATTAGTGTCTTTCTGTTTGTTAGCTTGAAGCCTTTAACTCCCAGAAGTGATAAAAATGTAACTTCTCCCCTTAATATCCACACATTAGCCAGTAAACAGGCAATGAGAATAGTCTAACTCATCAAGTAGAAGTTGTTATCTAGACTTAACACCAAATTCTTGTTACTAATTTACAAGGAAATGTGTAGCAGTGTGAAGGGAGAATTGACAGCCAGATCTTTGCAGTTAAAGGGTTATAATAATGACTATGGACATGGTAAAATAGATGTAAATGGAAAGTTAGTCTTTAAACTTAAGACTTTGGATACTCTTGAAAAGCTGAGTTACATTTATCATTCTCAAGAACATAACCCAATCAAACAGGTTTCAAATATGCCGTGCTAATTATTTTGTATATTATTTGTGTCTAAGCTATCAGCCACTCACTTGTATCAGCAGAGAAGAAGGTTAGCTGAGTTTGTATCAAACAACAAAATCATTCTTATCTAGATTATGCTATATTAGATAACAAGCATTGTACACTTAAAATAGCAAATTAGAATATAATCAAACAAATGTTAACCAATCAGATGGTAGGAGCGAAGAGGTCAAGAGATTTTATTTTATAACCTGTGGTGTTTTTCAAGTATTTCCAGCCCTGATTAAACCCTTAACTGCACATATTTGCACCACTCTGTCAGGTTGATTCATTAATAAAGTTGACTTTTCTGATCTGTAAAGGTGTATGGAGTTTATATAATAAACAAAATAAGAAATGTATAGGTGCTCGATCCTTGCTTAAATAGTGCCTTACTATGAGGATCGTGCACATATATCTTTCATAACTGCAGTTCAGATATATGTATTTCACATATTTGTTGTGTTTAAAATAAAAAGTGGTTGCTTGTTGATATGGAATTTCTCTTTTCATGTTCAACTTGATATGCTATAACTGAGCACAGCTAGTGAGTGCCATATAGATTTGTGCCTGAAAAGAGAAATGCTATATCTGGGTGATCCCCTGTATTATTCTCTATTTAATTTTCACTCCAGGCATGCCAGAGGGCTTTATTAGATCACTATCCTGATGAATTTAACGAGTTTCAGTTAACTCTTGATGGGGATGAGTTTTTAAAGGAAGAGAATGTTGATCTTGGTTTGAATGTTGCTGAACAGAGAGTAGTTGAGTTGGAAAAGGTAAGATTAGAAAATTTGGATTGTAACCATTGTGATGTACGTCAGGTTATCTTTAACTGAAACTGCTCTTAAATATTTTTTTGGATATATTACAGTAATGTTCTAGACAGTTTTTGCTTCTCCATTAATTTGATTAATTGTATATCTATCTTAAACTTTAGTAAACTGTGGTAATGCTTTCATCTCTAGCAGTGGTAAAGGAAACATGACTAGTCTTAAATATCCTGTATTGTATAGCATGAGAATGAATTATGCTGATTGTGAGTGAAGGGAGGTGTAATCTCGTTTTTTAATAACAAATAAAAGCTAATCACATGCAAATGAGCACATCAGTGGAAAGGGTTTTAGATCATGAAATTTTTTTCTTTTGTCTTTACAGGAAAATGGCAGTTTTGGATTCCATATCAGGGGAGGAGAAATCAAGAAAAAACAGACTGACAAGTTCCTTGAGTTTCATTACATGTCACCAGTGTTTATATCTCATATAGTGCAAGGCAGTGTCGCAGACAAGTGAGTATTCCTCTTCTTTTATACATATTAGTTGTACTTGTAATTACAGAATCTGTATTAACCCTTTTACACCCTTGTATCAGCATATAGATTCTCCTCACTGATCTCTGTACTTATCCTGGGTAAGGTAAACAATATGATCCAAACAACACAATGCATTGGTCAATACATTGGTTGGATCAGATTGGTTACCTTACCCCATATTCTATGGTACTCGCAATGACAATTTGATTAACATTCAAGAGCTTATTCAGCTATTGATCATTTCCTTTACTCTTGTGTTTGATTCACCCATGATACTGGGTTACAAAGGAGAAATAAGAGGCAAGTCACTTTGGGGGGTTCTTGGTTAATTAAGGTGGCTCTCAACATAGTCAACAGCATTCCAGTGTTGCTCCAAGGCTTTATGTTCCATTTGCACACGGCACCTTTCAGCATTCAGCAGCCATGATTTTTAACGAATTGCCAGCAAATATAAGGAATTGCACAGATTTTAAAGAATACTGCAGGCTCTGCAAGGCGTTCTTAAAAGGCGCGTACTATGTCTTCCTTGTAAAGATATAGAAACAACCACCACCACCAACCAATATATTCGACATATTTACTTTCATGTATAGTTTTTATTACAATTTAGTGAGTCATTATAATTTAGTTTTAATATTAAACTTTAGTATCGCATATGAAGAGCCACACCTTTTATGTGGATGTACTGTGAATAAACCGTTATTATTATTATTGTTATTATTAGTCTTGTAGAAAGAAGTGTTGTTTTGATTTACAAGTTGGTGAAGCCCCATCTAATTTGCTAGATTAGATATTTAGAAGCGACCAGTAAACCAAAAATGAAAAGCCGAAAGTCAACTGGGTCACATCATGTTGAAGAATTGTTGTTCTTGTTTGTTTTGTGTTTTTTTTTTTTTAAGGAAGTGGTTTTGATTTTTTCCATGTCTTTTTTGTAGACATGGAGGACTTAAGGTTGGAGATAATATTCTTGCCATAAATGACAGAGTAAGTAAAATTATTACAATTATTCTTATTATTGATTACTTATTATTAATTTTTTTAAAGAAGGCAAAATTAAAAGAAGCCTGGGTAATCATTGTTGGAGCCCAGAGAATTGGGGTCATAGGAACCATGAGGTTTTTGAGCTAGCCCCTTTGAATTATTATTGTATTACTATACTTGTTATCATCATTATATTGTTAATACTACTCTTTGTTATCATTAATTATCCTCTTTCTCTTGTGGAACAGGGTACTCATTAGTATGTGGGATGCAGCAGGTTTTCTGTTTTGCCTGCGAGACAAAATAATGCAACACTACCTTCTAGCATCATTATACAACCTCTAGTTCTTTTCAAGGTGGCTCGTACCAGTTTCCTTGCGTGGGGAACAGATCACTCTAGCGTCACGTGCGAGAGAAACATGTGAAAGAAGCGCGAGATTAAAAGACGAAAATTTAAAACAAAGATGGCGGCTCGAGGATTTTTTCCTACTTATATGAGAAGTTCACCTAAGAGCTTGTATTTGATGTGTTGAGCGGCCACTGTGAATGCAGGAGATAGAAACTAAGATAACGAAGACGATTTTCGGAGAATTAAAGGTTGCTTCACTTCACATTTAAAAGAAATATTCAACCGATATGAAATCTTGCGACGGCGAAAAAGAAGAACTCAGTCAAGGATAATCTACCTGAGGTCGAAGAGGACTTTGAAACCTCAAGGAAAATAATATGATATAGCCAGAAGTCATGTGTAGGATTTTTAAGATGAGTTCGGGAGGCTGTCTTTGAAGGCTGTTTAAGCAAATGTCGATCGTATAGAATCCAGATTTTTAAATGCGCAAGAACGCGCATGGAAATAGACCAATTTCGATATATTTCAACGTGATAGACTGGTGATGAAATTCCAACACCGAAGCGAGGCTCCGGGGAATACGGCGCGAATAATAAAAACAAACACACCACTGCAAACACTGCAAGGATAGCCATGTGCGATTGATCAAAAGGGTATATTCTTGGTTTTTTTTTTTTTGATCCATTGCTGTTCATCTTCGCGTGTAGCATGGTAAAGTATTGTGCTGTTGCGCTTTGCGGCAATGGGAGTAAGAAAAGATCGGATCTCAGTTAGTTTTGCTTTCCTACAAGGCCCATTGAGCATAAGAAGTGGGAAGTTTTCTGTAAGCGAGCAGATAAAAAATTCAAGGCACTGGGCGATCCACGAATCTGTTCCTTGCATTTTAAGGAAAGGGACAGTGAGATTTCAATTTCTGGTAGAAAAAGTGTACGTTCAGACAACTATCCGACCATCTTTGATCCAACAAAATCTACTAATACTGTGAGTTCGTGTTCGAAATGTCTTGCCGATAGGAAGGCACAGTGTGATGAACAACCGCAGGCCAAGAAAGTTTGTCCCAGAAAGCTCCATGAGGACTCCAATGAGACTTGCATGGATTTTAGTGCTGATGTGATTTCATTAAACCATGATCACTCACACTTTTGCAGCCAGGAACAAGCAACACCGAAAAGTAACTCGAACGGTTCTGATACTATGCTTGCGAAAGGTAAATGCTCTACGGCATGTCAAACAGACTTGACAGCTGATGAAATAGACTACTTGGTAACTGACCTGGAAGAGTGCAAGAGGGAGGAGATAGTTGCATATACCTGGGAAAGTGACTTCTGGAAATATCGAGAGGTTCCTACTCCAGTTCAATTTCAATATGGATGCAGGGTCTGGCAAAACACCCTTGTCTGTGGCAAGTAATTCGCCCATGATATGATTTTCATTTTCACTTTCACCTTCAGTCACTTTCGGGAGATTCACTGAATGAGCATTAAACGCAAGCTCAACCAACTCAGCCTTTCTTTTACACTTTCCTTCCGAGGATGTTTGTATCCCTCTTCCTAGAAGGAAGGTTCGCAACCACGGCAACTTTTGACGCTGAAAGTATTGTAGATTGATCTCACCTTTTTTTTCCGACGTGGCCATGACAACGATGATTACTTCAATTTACTTTTAACTCGAAGAAACTAGGAATTTACTCAAGAAAAACGATGATAACTCAAGAAAGCAGTTTCTGCTCAAAGATGTGAGCAACCAAAGCTCGATTCCAATGAATTTTGTTCCCCAGAGCCTTGCTTGGGTGTTCAAGTTTCGTCACCAGTCTCTCGTGTTGAAATATATCGAAATTGGTCTATTGCTAAACTCACGAAAGCTATTGCATGAAAACAAGTCTGGTGACCCCTTCTTTTTATTGTGCCAATATGATGATAATGTTGAAAGGAATCATCAGAAAAAAAAATAGAAAATTCTACAGAAGGAAATTTGAAATGTGTGAAAATTGCCCTTTTTGTAGATTTTCTGAAATTGCGCTCCGTAGCATTTTTTAAAAATCTTTGTGCATTTTCCTTTTCAAGTGCCAAAAGCAATCACTGAAAAAAAATCAGGGGGTCACCGGGTTAGTTTTCGAATTATTTAAGCCACAAGCTAAAAAATGCGTCTGAATAAGCCTATGAAAGCGTTGCCATGGAAACTGCTAGTGACGAAATGACACTTATTTTTGGATAACCAATGATTATGTAATTCAACCCCGTAAAAGTGTTCAACTGGCCTTGGTCAGTCTTTCTGTTGTATTCTTTCAAAGTTACAAACCATCAAAAAGATGAAAACCGGTACGAGCCACCTTAATGCAGCCATAGAAATTGTGCTATGCCAGTAGCCACATGCAGTCTTTGTCTAAATTTTTTAGCCATAAGGAACAGTCCTGTAAAAAAGGACTGCATCAGGTAGAAGACTTCATAACAAGTTGATATGTGGGTTTGATTTTATCAGTGAACTGACCAGAATAGGTAGCTATATTTCTTGGTTTATTTAGATTCACTAGAAACGATGCCCAGTTCTCTTCTAGTTTTGAGGAACAATGATCACACTGAATTCCTCTAAATGTTTTGTGTTTTGTTTAGAGTGTGGAGGGACTTGATCATGAGCGTGTTGTGAAACTTTTAAAATCTGTTTCAGGTGAGATTCTCTATTGAATTTTAGTATAATTTTACAGCCGAGCAGAGAGTTTCCAGCAATCTGATTGGTTGAGTGGTTCCTTATATGACGCTATATAAACTGCTCCACGCGGTTTATATAAAATGTTAAAATAAAATGTCAGTAAATGTTACTAAAATGTTATGATTTTAGAAATTTCTCTGTTGTTCAGCTCTGAAATACTAAAATAGTTATTTGCCTCAGGTTGGGGGATTATTTGACGATATTAACCTCGCCCTTGACGAATAACTGTTAAATGTTAACGAGTTATGATAACATCAAAATAAAAAGGCAGGCAATGTTTTGATAGATTTTCGGTAGTGATATGTATACAGGCTGACCTTTTGGTCCTTTCTTTTCAGAAGCTGTTAATGATTAACAGTAAAAAACCCAACTTTTGTTTTCTTTTTCAGGCCCTGTGTCATTTACAATTACGCACTGCAAAGAAAGTATGTCTTTTTCAATATAGGTTTTAGGGTGTTTTTTTTAATAACAGTTAATATACTAGGTTGGATAGATAAGCGTGAGGTAATAGGTGATGGAAGGGGTATCCTCTTTCCTTCTTGTTAAAATAAAAAAAAAGTAAAAAAGCACAGGTTCAGTCTGCTCTCAAGCTAATTGACCTACAGCACTAAAACTTAATCAGCTTTCCACAGCATGAAGCAACCAGAAATATTGTAGCTACCCTCCCTACCTCTGGATGGTATTTTATTACACGTCCTCTTCCCAGTGTTTTGTCAGGCTTCCCTGGCAGGTCAGCAACATCCTGAGTGAAGAGGGTACTGTGACAGTAAGGAATCTTACCCAAAACCACAACGCGATTACCTGGACCTTAAGTTGAGCACTATGGCTATTTGCCTTCTTTAACTCCTACTTCTCATTGGCAATCATTATTTTATTTTCCTTTTTTTCATGTTTTAAAGTTAATCCTCTACTCCCATGATCTGATTGTTACCAGTAATTCTCCCCTCTAGCCTCTACACATTTTCTTGTAAGCTGGTTACCAGAATTTGGGGTTAGATTAAGATAACTCCTACCTGTTAAGTTTGAATATTCTCATTACCTGTTTGCTGGATAATGTATTAATATTATGGGGCAAAATTAGATGTCAATCACTTCTGGGAGTCAAGGGTTAACTGAACTCATAGCATCCATCTTTTCTTACAGCTTTACTAGCCGACAAATTGGAGCAGAGGTTTAAAGAAATAAAGCGCAAGAAGCGTCTGGCAGAGTTATCATCTGATGTGTGGTCACAATGGCATCAAGCACAGTCTAACCAGACTCCATCTCGGTACAAAGACGTCCTCAAATATCACAAGGGCTCATCATCTTAGTTTGGCTGCAAATGTGATGACTATAGAATTGTTGTGTCTAACTTTTAAGGCTACAATAAATGGATTGGTATTTGTGCTACAAGGCTTTTTGTTGCATCTGCTATGTGGGTTGATTTAAATATTTGCACCCTATATTCTTTTAACAGTGCTCTATGCATTTCCAAAGGTGCTGGTAACAATCAAGAACTTCATCAGTTGTTGATCATTTTATTCTTGCGACCTTGTGTGATTTGGGGGTGATCTCGCAAGGATAAATTAGATGCTAGTTCAACTTGATTGTCACCATTTTGGGGTTTGCAAACATGGCAATCTATGAAAGTGAATCGATTCAAGACAGCCTCATTCCTTTGTAACTAGATTCCACACACTCCTAACTTTTACCTTCCTAGATCCAAAAAAATTTGTTAACTGAAAGGAGAAACGTGTTTGCAGATCATCAATAAGAACCAACATGAAACATGTAGAACATTTTATTGACAATCCAAGAAGTACAGTAAAGGATGGGTTTTAACACAAATGATAAGAGGCCACTGGACTAAAGTGGTTGCCAGAACTGCCTTTAACTTAACATGAAATGGTTGTGATTTTTGTAAAAGCCAGTCAAGACATATTTGGAAATAACTGTCTTGCTAAAAAGTAGACCAAGCTGAGCTACTATTGGAGGTTATCCATTCTGAGTGAAAAAAAATACTCGCTCTTCAAATGGAACAGGCTCTTAAAATGCGACACTTTCTGTATTTTTGGGTTCTTTTATTTATTAATTTTTTTCTTGTCAAGGTTTCTTTTTGCTGTTTTCTTACTATCAATTGTAAGAACTAATGATACACATGATCATTTCCCACAAATTGTTGGGACATTACTTACAGAACCAAGTTGACTTTACGTGGTGCTATGGTTTCAAAACATTTCCAGCTTTACATACTCCTTAAGACCAAAATACATTTGCTAGTTTAGTGTTACTTTGTCTACACCTGGTCAAAGGAAAGTTTCAAAATTGAAATCCTTTTACAATCCCACCTGTCCTTGTCTATCAATGCTTCTCAACCTTGGTTTCCAATAATTTTTTTTTGGTAGAATTAACTTTCTGATCCATATAAAAATGTTTAACTTTTTTTGTTTGTAAACGTTTTGTAAAAATAAATTTTAATTGCAGACCTAATGTAGGTGAAGTGTGTATATTTGATTGATTCATTCATAAACAAATTATGTATAATAAATATTTTTTTCAATATAATCTTTGTACAGATTCAACAAATTTCTCAGGATTTTAAACATGTCATCACTAATATTGAAACTCATGGAAGACTTAAACCTTGTAAGTAACAATATGTTGCATTAATGTGTTGTAACAAACTACACTCAGGTGTCATTAAGTTTCACTGAGAACTACCAAGGATGGGAGATGTACTTATTGCAGAGCCTGTCAATGACAATTGATCATCCAACTGATCACCTTGTTCACCCAAATCAATTTCATATTTTTTTCAATACTCACTCACTAAATTTAAGTCTTTACCAGATGGTGGGCTTTGTTTCGTTGATAAATGTAAATGTCATTAATAAGACTACCAGCAGCCCTTAGAGCTGCTTTTAATTTCATCAACAGTGCTTTTCTGTGATATTACTTCGTAAAGAATTACCAGTATTTTAATTTTTTTCTCTTTTTGTGGATCGGACAGCAGCTTGCTTATACCCTTAGTCCACATGATCAACACAGCCCTCCACAACATCAGCAACTTATTGATAACTAAACTATAAAATTATTGGCAATATTTCCATATAACCCTAAACTTCATCAAGTGTACCGTATTTGAAGAAAACAATGGTAAGACAATAACATTACCTTTTGGATCATGGGTTTGGGGTTTTATGGAAATCTTTTCCAAACATTGACAGTACAAACTTGCTTTGAGTGTTTGATTTTAGGAGATTAGAAAGAACTCCCACTTTTAAACATCCCAAGAAAACAAAAGAACATTTATCTCCACTTCTGACACTATTGAACACTAACCTACAATTTCTTAATTACATTATAGTTGCTAAAATTTTTCTAATCTGTGTCTTCTCTTGAAGATCCAACTGGCTCACCATACTTCAGTTTCTGTCCAGGTTTAACATCAAATTTAAAGTCTGTGGGGGCCTCAAATATCAAAACAATTGTTGATCCAAGGTTAAATGCTCCCATTCTCTCACCACGCACGAGGGAAACTCCCTTAGGTTCACCATTAACGTAATCACATTCGTCAAATGATCCTTCTGAGTATCTCCCTGGACAATTTGTTTTCAAATCCTGCAAAAGTGGAAGGAAAAGGTTAAAGAAAAGGTTATACCCTTGCATCTTTTATAAACTGTAGGTATTTGTTGTTATTAAAAAGTGTTGCTTGAACAAAACTAAAGGATTAAGGGAAACAAGGAACTATAAAATTTGTCTGATTAAAACGATTTATCTCTAATTTCATAAAAGGAATGCAAATCTAGAGGATGCATTATCTGGAAGATGTAACAATGGGCAAATCAAAATGCAGTAAGGATGCAATAAATTTGTGCTTCAGGTTACACTGACAAAGAAAACAGAAGAAATTAATTGAATTGACTTGATCAGGTCAGAGACAGTGAAAAGTTAAGAAACAATTTGTCACCTTATCAAACTTGAGGTTGATTGATCCAACATTGTAAGCTCCAACTGCAGTAAAACTAAAAAATCCATGTTTCCATGTACCAGTAAGAACAACACGTTCATTGTGATTAAACAGACCAGCAACCATTCGAGCTATTCCTGGATGCACAGAAAACAAATCTCCTGGAAAAAAGAAGAATATTATTAAGAACGATAATTTACAAAGGGTTACCTCAAAGAGAGAAAGGTTAAAACTGTGTTCACTTGTAAGTTCATCACATGAAGTTGAGAGAAAATTCTGTTCCCTTCCAAGCCAATTAGTGTTCTTGGATGAGGATGAATAAACCATAGGCCCCATCTCCTGCAGGGTTGTGGGTAGGAGACATTAATTTCCCATGCACGAGATTACTGTGTGATGGATGTCCTCCCCTGGGGTGGGTTATTACAAGTGTAATGTGCCCTTGATCATTACATGTTAAAAGGCACACTATAAATTAATAAAATTATTATTATTATTATTATTATTATTATTATCATTATTATTATTATTATTATTATCATTATTATCATCACCACCACACATCTGAATTGGGTGGTGACAAGTGAAAACTTCAGCCTTCTTGGTCCATTCATGTAAAATGACTAAACATGATATGATGACAAACCTGGAAAATGTCTTCTTTGCTTGACATTCCATTCACTTGGTGAATGAAAGGAGTGGTAGTCACCAGGTCCAAGATAAATAACACAGTGATAAAGCTTCTTATTGTCATCAGACTCTAGTTCTTTGAAGGTGGAAGCAGATGGTTCGTTGGGTCCCAGGAAAGTCTTCAATGAATAAGTTATTCCTTTGACTTGTTCCACCATGTCATTTTGCACCTCACCAAAATGCAGAACTGTACCATCTGCTGGGCTCACCTTGGGAAGAGTGAAACAAGGTAAATCAGAAGTACTCAACCAGTTTTACTCCTTAACATCATAACAGAGGGCTTCAGAAAATTGATTGTGGACCTTGGCCAAGTACATATGCTATGACCATATGAAAAAAGATGTAACGTGAGGGATAAATTTTTGAAGAGAATTGCACCATCCCAACAGATCATAATATAAAATAAGCAGGTACTTACAATACAACTTGCATCACATATTCTTCTGGCATAAGGTTTGAGTTGTCTTCTGAAGAAAGCTCCAAGACTTGGATAATTCATAATTTCTTCCTCCACAGCCTCAGCCACATTACAGGCAAAATACCACGAATATGAGCCAATGATTGGTTTACGCAACCATAGTGGCAAGTCAATATCGCACACTGCTCCCAAAGCACGTGAACAAGCTCTTGTGGGCAATTTCTTGAACAATGCAACCTAAAAAGATTTTAAGTGGGTTTTGAGCCAAAATTTACAATTTGCGTGAGATTGAAAAAAAAAAGAAAAAAAAAAAAACCCGTGTGACATAACGTGACTTCTTACTCGCGACTCAGTAACGCAACCTCACCTGCCATTGACTGGGTTCGAGAGATTCACCAGCATTTGATTTAAGTTCTTGTTTCTCCTTAAAAAAAAAAAAAAAAAGAAAAAAAAAAATACCCGTGTGACATAACGTGACTTCTTACTCGCGACTCAGTAACGCAACCTCACCTGCCATTGACTGGGTTCGAGAGATTCACCAGCATGTAATTTACGTTTTTCTCTCTCTTTGATGTACCAGAATTGTTGATAACAAACGTAGGCGAAACCAACACTGGCTGGGATGCTGAACCAACGGAGGGTTCGCATGTAATTTCTCACCGCGGTTCCAAGTCTTCGGGCGCCTGAAGATAAAAAGGACAATTTCAATCCTCTCTCTCTTTTTGAAATTCATAGCGGTGAAAAAAAATTGTAATTTTCTGTACATTAAATAGGCGTCAAGGAGGAGAATATCAGCTGAATGGCCACTGGTTTCGCATGGCCATGTTGCTAGCATTCGATCATAGCTTTTCTCGATGCACGCCCACGCTTCCCAGAATTTGATTGGTCACGTCCTTTTATGTACCGATTACCTTACCTCTTTGAGAATGTGAAAATGGACGACAGAATCCAAGGATAGAAAGTTTATTGTACAGAATGGGTAATTGAGTCGACACTCCATCAATCGATTTGACGACAATCGCCGAGGATCGCGAGTAAGAATTGTACAACAGCGTCTTCGATGATCCTCGTAAGATACCATGCATCGCTATCAGATGTAATTACGTACTTGATCTTTTCTCAATTTAATTTTTTTGGATGGAAAAGAAATGTCACGAAAAGCTAAAGAAACCTCGCGTGGAAACTGCGACATCCACATGGAAAGGCTGACGCGCGCACTAGCTGGTGGGAAGGATTCACTTTATCACAGGGGACGGGAGGCTTAGGCCATATCGGCCTTGGCCTGATCACGTGTTCGGTGGTATTACGTTGCCACCCAACTTAAATCTCCCACTTTTTATGAATTTAGCCGAAAAAGAGAGAAAACATGGAACTGTTTTCAAAAACTTTCGTTTTCACTGTGCTTCTCGCACGCCAAATTAGCCGAGTTCCCGTATGATGAGATACATTTCAGGTTCAAAAGCTATTCCGGAACAAACATGTTTCTCGTGTTTGACCTGGTTACCTTTTCAAGAAAGAATAAATTTCTATTGGTAGCCTTACAGACTGACACACGAGTCTGCATATACTTTGTACAGATCCCACTTGTCGTTCACGTGACACCCTTTCTGAACTCTTCCTTGAGACACGCCCCAGTACTTTTACGATCTATCGGCAAAATTCGACGACAAAAAACTATCAAAGAAAGTATCGAAAAAATCCTAGAATTTGATGGTTGATACACGAACTCTTCAAAACCTCTAATATTCTCGTTACTTAAAATCTATTTCCCGAGTAGAAAACCGATAACATAATTTTCAACATGTTTCAACAAGCATTTTTTTTCTGATGGAAACCAGTGGCCGACCCAAAAACCACTGATGCCAAGCCATATTGCGATTACGAAAACCCGTTTGGATTTTAAAAATCGCAAGTACCTTACAACATTCATCACAATAACACCAGGCGGTATTAACAACTTCTCGAAGTAATTATTTATTATGAATATTTTCAGGGTGAACCCACCGCAGCCAGACAGGCTGGTTTAAATGGGGCCCTGTGTCAGGCTTGGATATCTTTATTTCGCTCACTGCTTCCCAGCCATGCCTATCTAAGACATATGAACCCGACTGTTAACGCTTTGGTCAGATATGAAATCGTTATGTTCGCAAGTATTTCCAAGAGCAATTTTAAATACCAACTACCAATCATGGAGACGCCAACACTCATTTCTCGACACCTTCCGAGTTAAACATTACGAATTATTCGCTTGAAAATCCTATTCCATCAATCTTAAACGGCAACTCCATCTCCTTACAATATTACTTCTGAGAAAGGATCTTCCCTTAACTAACCCCAGGAAAAATTCTTAGAAAGCCGATAATCGAGATAAATTGCTTTCACAACACTAGAGAATACGAACGAAGGTGAGAAGACATTGAGGTCAAAAGAATAACGACACTTCATTTCTTTCCCTAAAAGAAAGCAGATAATTGATCGCTTTTTCTCTCTCAATACTCCCTTTATATATCAAAGAAGACGTTTCACTCCATTGTTGGTGGAGAAGACTGGAAACGTGCCGCTTCGACTGGTTACAAACCCGATGAAACCGGTTTGGCCGCGACGGTCGAGCGGACGCGATGACAAAATGCTAATTTTCACTTGAACATTTGTACCTTTCCTCGTTGTCTTGTGCAGTAGTGTATCTGAATTTTCCTTTACCGGCCAAACAACACCGTAGCTTGCAAAGGCAACCACTACGACGAGACAGATTGCCGAGTGGGCATAAAGAACACAAGATGTTATCCAAGCGGAATCATGTCTGAGGTCGTTCAGTTGTCGATAGCCGGTGAATGAAAGATCATCATCAGCGTGCACTCGCATGTTAAATAGAATTAAGTACGGTCGAGGACGTTTAATGTAATGTCGTTTTAAATCTTCTATGTCTTGTAGACACAAAATGACAAGCTTACGGATAGCTTGCACGACAGATCACTATGACTTCCTTCGGTCAGTACTTTCACTTTGAAAAGAAGGATGGTTAGGTTTTACATAGTTTAGGTAGTTTGGTACATCCGGGATTTTTTCTGCAACGTGTTCTTTCATTGGCTATCGAATGATACCTGTCTTCTTTGCACGTGCACGTGAACTGAACCGTGAATAGGCTTATGCAACATGTCATGCAACATAGCGTTACTAGAGAAATCACATAGTGAAAGAAGCTCGTTTCTCGTTTTCGGTGAAGCAACCCATAAGCCTAAAAGATAAGGGTGTTCTACGTTAAAGGTTATAATTGATTATTTTAATCCGTACCTAATTGATATTTTGATATGTTTTTAACGACAAACCTGAAGATATTGAATATTACACAAGGCGTGACAAGAAAAATATATCGAAGATAAGGCGATAAAAGTAAAGATTAAGAAAAGGTCATGAAAACAAAGTATTTCAGGTGCATTTGACATAAGTATTTATATGATATAAAAAATAAAACAATTTCTCATTACTCGGAACGCAAATATAGTTAAGTAGTGAGGTTTTCACTTTTAAAGTTGCGAAATTAGAATAAACATAAAATTAGCTGCTTTGGTGTACATTCCCAATCCACAGTAATTTCAAACGTTACTCACTCAAATACCATGTTGGCTGTCTGCCCTAGCGCACCATTACCGCTCTTATGTGAGAATCTGAACAATGTGAGCGTGTCGACTATGAACAAATGCGGTGTTTTCTGTAAATTTTTGCCTCGAAAGGCCGAACTGGGAAGTTCAGCATGCAGCAGAATCCAATTTATAAGTTTAGTGCTCTTTTTTATGCGAGGTTTGACCCTTTATACCTTTACACCAGGGTACAGATTCTCCACACTGTTTTCTGCACCGCACCAACAAACACGTTTTTGCCCTGTGAGCGGGAGTCCTCCAAAGAGAGGGAAGAAAACAAGAGTCTTTCCTTCTCTCGCTTTGGAGGGGGTAAAGGAAGACTGCTCATAGGGTAGAGCTTCTTTAGTTCAGAATTATTTTCTTGATGCTAACGGCCTTATATTTAATACAGTGGTGACACGGTGAGGATAAAATAGAAGTTAGTCACTCTTAGGGATTAAAGGGTTAATTTTTCTATAAATAATCGTAATTTTGGTCAGTAGAACTGAGGCTACTATAATTTGTAAAACGTTGATGCATAAATTTGTAAATTTCATATGTTTTGCCTTTCAATTACTTGATATTTGTTTCATATGAATTAGCAGATGAATTTTACGGGGATAAGAATCAGTTGTTTTTACTCAGCTGTTTTGCCTCTCGGCCAAAAGGGCTTTTTTTCCAGAACAATTGCTAAACCTAAAATGACAAGATAAATCTTTTAATTTTCTCTTCTTTTCAAAAACAACAACTAGACAAAGGAGCGTACCTGCGCTTCATTTGTTGCTAGGATACATCTATTTATCTAACCGGAGCCCTTTAAGCCTTTACTTTCTAACATCAGTATGCATATTCTCCATACTGTTCTCTATACATTTCTTAGAGTGCTGACAAGGAGAATTTTATTAACAATTAGGAGCCTTTAAAATTGGTGTTCATTCCCTTCAATCTCATGACCTTTAGATGCTAGATCTAGTGATGCTATAATGGGGAGCTCGGGAGAGTGTGTCTTGTCCTTTTGTCTGGTCATTATTACAGTTAGCGGCAGATATATTGTGCTATGTTAGCAATTATTAACAAAGGTGTTTACCATTCTTAATGAAGACTAAACATTTAATATTCAATATCAATATTTGACATCACGGTGTTGAGGAAAATTAGAATTTATGAGCTACTGGGAACACTCACCAGACACCCACACAAACTCCCCCCCTTTCCAGATCCTGAAGTTTAACTCCCCCCAGGCCTTGATCGATTTTCCGTTCGACAATCGTTTTTTTTTTTTTTTTTTTTTATACAAAAACTGGCGTAGCCTTAATGATTACTAGAAATTTGCAAATCACACTTCGCTGCACATCAGTTAGTTCATTACTGAAATAAACATATTAAAAAATATTGAATAAACTCGGAAATTGCTATTTTTATATAACATGCAAATATACCAAACACTGCAAAACTTTGAGTGACAAAGGGTAATTGTGATTGAAAATGACAAGTCGATGGTTCTTATTTCTAAACAGTCGATTGTATTTGCTTTAAGAAAGTGCACACGCATCTCACAAGACTACTGACCAGCTTTATTTACATTCTTCCAAGCGTGCAATCGGCCTGTTTTGTTTGAAATTACCTGACAAAATTTTTCCAGTTGTTAAATATTACATTTGACTTCAATCGCGAAATGAAAATATTTAATTTGAAATACGTTCCTAAAATTTCAAACAAGGTCACTCATTGCTAGGCCCTTTTAGTTAACGTTCAAATTAAATATGCAAAAATGATCGACCAATGAAAAGTGGAGATAAACATCGTATGATTAAAAAATTTGCATCTGCTTAACTCCACGACGCGAAAAGGGCTTGGCGATTTTATTATTACTGTCGTTGATTGTAGAATATACATATGGATGCTATCTATACATCGCGACGAAAAGTAACACATAAATTTTCAATGTAGACGGGAAATTTCGAAGTGCATTTAAAGATACTTTTAACAACTGTGTATGGGGATCGTGCACGGTCTAGCATAAAACTTCAGTCATAATAAATACTTCTCTTACCTGGATGATCGACAACTTGTATATCAACTTGCACACTTTTGATCTTGACGGATCGAAGAATACCGAGTTTGGTGATAATTATTATAAGAAAAAAGCTGAATATAGTGTGAGTGTTGAGAAGAAATGACATCCATGCTTGGTCACTAGCGGCAACGTGCGAGTCGTCCACTCGTAAATGAAACTGCACGTCTACGACAATTTGATCATCACCATAAAATATCATGATAACTTTCCCCACTCTTAACCCACAGTTTCAGCATCACACGCGTGTGGGTGATTCCCTATAAACAGAATTTATTCTCGGTCGCTAGTTTCCTGAAATAGGTGTAATTTGAATTTTTAAAAACTACACGATGTTTTGAGTGTTGAGTGACATTTGCAAAGACCGGCACTAGGATCACCCTACGCTGATAAGCACACCCATGTTTACATATGCAGCTACTGTTGGGATGAAATACGATCCAATTGGTCGATTTTATCATCACGCAATCATCACGTTGTTGACGGTAACGTTACAACCGTATAGGTTTCAACAGAACGATAAAGTACCCTTAAATCATACCTTCGAAATAGGAACTCGTTCTGTTATTCCTCATTCTTCAAAGATTTGGCCCTGTATCCTTCAGTTGGTCTCTCCTTGAATTACTTAAGCATCTATCGCGCTAGAGACTACCGACGAGAGCCAGTTTTCTATGATTGCTCCCAAATTTATTTTTATACAAATTGAAAATAAATTCTGAATTGAAGGAGTATAGTCTAACATAATAAAGATAACGCATTTTCGCCCTTCTCTTTCGTCCTGGTTTATAAAATCAAGATCAGACATTTAACCTTTGAGTTTCTTTGTTACACACTTATTTATTC